TATGACTGCTGGAAACTAACAGCTCAATAAAAGCCAGTCTTTACAGTAGCCTGCAAGGCCCTGCATTGTCTGTTCTCTCCCTTGGCCCTTTGACCCTATGTCCTTTTATATTATTAGATAGACAATATATATTTTTTTAAAGTGAGGGCTCACTGTGTAGCCCAAGATGGCCTTGAACTTGTAGCCATCCTCCTGCCTCAGCCTCCTGAAGGGATGGGATTACAGGCATGTACTACCATACTGGGCTAATAGTATTATATAGGGCTTACCAGCAAAGAGTTGAGATGGTGATTATCTAGGTTCAGATCCCAACTCTGTCATTCACTATACTGTGTAATCTTGGGAAAGTTATTTGAACTTTGTGCCTCAGTTTTCACATCCTTTAAATGGAGTTAATAGAGTTGTCATGAGGATCAGTATACAGTACCTAGAATAACGCCTGACATCTTTTGTTAGTAGCAAATACAGCAATTCTCAAGTCTTATTCTAGTGTATTATCTTTATTTGATATCTGGGTAAACATTTTACAGCTTGAATAGGTTACTTCTAGCCCAAAGTGACACAGCTACTAAGTGGACAGAACCAGGATTCAAACCCGGGGAGTCTAGGCCTAGAATCCATGCTTTTTACATGTATGTTGCTCAATATTTATGTATTGAAATAAGAAATAGTGAATACCTAAGCGGAGAAAAAAAATCTCAGTTTCTCTAAACATGTCTATTGTTTTGTTTATTTCTTCAGTTTTTGCTTGCTATGTTGTGGATCTATGCCAGGGCCTGTCCATGCCTTGGCAAGTGCTCTGCCACTGAGTTAATCCATAGTCCTGTCCTGGGTCTTGAATGATAGTTTTGCTTGGTACATATTTCTAAGGTTAGTTATTTTCTTTCAGCATTTCAAATATCATGCTCTGCTCTTTTTTTTTTTTTTGGCTCCTGAGACAGGATCTTGCTATGCAGTTCAGGCTGGCCTTGACTTCACTATGTAGCCCAGACTGGCCTCAAACTCGAGGTAATTCTCCTGCCTCAGCCTCCCAAGTGCTGGGATTCCAGGCATGTACCACCATGCTGTTTGTCTTTTTTTTTTTTTTTGGTACTGGGGATCAAACTTATGACCTCGTATTTGCCAGGCAGGTGCTTATGCCACTGAGCCCAACCCCGCCAGTTTGTCTTTTATTTATATTGTTGCTGTTAGTTTAATTCTTAATCTTTTGAAGGAAAAATTATTTCTCATTGACTGTTCTTTCTAAAGTATTGGCAGCTATGACATCATCAAATGAATTTGAGAGGTGATGATGTTCAATTTAGGGCATAACAATATGTGATCCACATTATAGTATCGCTAATACAGAATAGTTTTAAATTGCTGTAAAAATACCCTGTGCTTCAGTTGTTTATCTCTTTCTCCTCCATGACCACTGGTCTTTCTATTACTGTCTCCATAATTTTGGCTTTTCAGTATATCATAATTCAAGTGACTTCTTTCACTCAGCAATATATATATAATTATATATATACAATATATATAATTACTATAAATATATATATGGTTATATATATATATGGTAATATATATATATTACCATACACACACACACACACACACACACACACACATTTCCCATGTCTTTTTGTGGCTTGATAACTCATGACTTTTTACACTGATTATCCATTCACATCCACTTGTATTTGGACAATTATATTTGTAACTATTAGACACCCTCACAGATTTGCCTATTTATTTTGTGCGTTGCCTGCCTGTTATTGTGATTCTATGTATTATTTCTTTAAACATTCCATGCATAGTTATTTTTATATTTCATGGCCAATAATCCTAATATATGAAGTCTTCAGGAGTCTAGCCCTGTTGCTACATTTTTGACCATCTATGATTGTGAACTTATAATGTTTTTTCTTCATTATTAACTATCCTGCAGGCCTAATGTAGGGAATGATTCCCTCCAAAAACAAATTCAGCATTTGCCTCACCTGGAAACCCAGTAGTACTACTGATCTGTGATCAGGCTGGTGTGTTTTTAAGGGTTGGATTCTTCATCTGGCCACATCATAATGGATGTTTACTTTCAGACAGCCTTACCTCTTGTTTGTTCTCACTGTTTGTCTCTGAGGTTAGTTCGCTTTGTGTTTATAGAGAGATTGCCGTTATTACTGGTACATTCTGGATGTCTGTTTTGTCTATGATTTCATTGCTTTGTAGGTAGATAGCTCTTTAGGATGTTTAATAGGGCATCCTGACAAAGCAGGATTCAGTTGTCTGAGTTAAGAGATTATGTTCAGAATGGCAGTGATCACACTAGGCATCTTCTAGTTTTCTTGGGTGCCCTCCTGATTTCTCTTGCTTTTTCACTGTTCTGGATCAAACATTGAGCCCTAGAAAAATGACACATTTTGTCTTGATCAGCAGGCTGTACTGTGGGGAACAAGAAATAATGACGATTTTGGGTGCTGCCTCCATGTGCTAACTGGGGTAAGATTTTATTTTTCTAGTACAGTGCTGATGAAAATTAGATTTGAATTTATTTCTGGGAAGGCAGATTTAGTAGTCAAATAAGCATCAGATTGAAGTTTAAACCCCAGCTTGGTCTTTTAGCAGGAAAGTGACCCTGTACAGCTCATGTGACTTACTTGAGCCATAGAAATTGCAACTATTAAGAGCAGTAAACTACTTATTGTTTACAAAATGTCAAGCACTGTATATTTTTTGTATTTAGTATTCAGCAATATCTTTATAGGATTGCTCCTATTCTTTGGTACTGGAGATTGAGTCCAAGTCCTTGTGCATGTTAGGTAAGCACTATACCACTCAGCTACATCCCATCCTGTTTTTATTTTATTTTATTTTAAGACAGAATCTCACGGGGCTGGGGATTTAGCTCAGCGGCATAAGTGCCTGCCTTGAAAGCAGGCAGTCGTGAGTTCGATCCCTGGTACCGATAAAAATGAAAAAGCCAAAAAAAAAAAAAAAAGACAGAATCTCACTAAAATGTCCAGTCTGGCCTGAACTTATGAACCTCTTAACTCAGCCTCTTAGATAGCTGGGATTGTGAGTGTCTACCCTAACAACTAGCAGCAATATGGTTGGTAGGGTTTTATTTTTTTTTTTTGTGGGGAAAAATTGTTTTGTTTTGTTTTTTGAGACAGGGTCTCCTATGCAGTTCAGGCTGGACTTAAATTCACTATGTAGCCCAGGCTGGCCTCAGATTCACAGAAATCCTCCTGCCTTAGCCTCCTGAGTACTAGGATTATAGGTATGAGTCACCATAGTTGGCTCTATGGCTGTTTTTTTTTTTTTTTTTTTTAATCGGTACCGGGGATCAAACTCACGACCGCCTGCTTGCAAGGCAGGTGCTTATGCCGCTGAGCTAAATCCCCAGCCCCCCCATTATGGCTGTTTTAATGATGACAAAATGGAAAAGTACAGAAGCAAAATAAAAATAATTTCTTGTTAAGAATTTATTTTTGGGGGGGTTACCAGGAGTCAAACTCAGGACCTTGTGCTTGCCTGGTAGGCGCTGTGCTGCTGAGCTATATCCCTGGCCTTGTGGGGATTATGACTATTATGACTGTTTTGATGATGAGAAAAATGAAAATACAGAGAAGCAAAATAACAATAGCTTCTTGTTAAGACCAAATTTAAATGAGTTAGCACATGTAGAATACTGAGCAAATACTATAAGATAATAAAGAGCAGCTAGTAATACTATGATCATGAACATTTTGGGGATATATAATTAAGCCTGTGTAATTTGGTCTAAGATTCATTTATTAAAACTTTGTTTTAGTCATGTGTACTAGAGCGCTTTGTTATAGCCATGTGTACTGCTAAATTTTAGGAAGCCAGGGAAGAATAAGACAAATATGATCCTAGCATTTAAGGCACTCTGTTGGAGTAAGAGATGGATACAAAGATGTTGAGCCTAAGAAGTACCACGACAGAGCAGGAATAGGGTGGTTTGGCACTGGAGATTTATTAGAAGAAATGACTTTTTTGGTTTACACTAAAAATGAGTTGGGGGTGAAAGTAAAAAATTAAAATCAGAGAATAATTATGAAGTCTGAGGTGTGAGAGAATACTTGCTGTATTTAAACTAGTGAAAGTATATCTGTGTATGAAACGTGGAAAGTGAAGCTGAAAAGGTGGGCAGGTGCTGTATTCTTAAAGCATTTTTGTAAGCCCAGCTTCAAGAGTTGACCCTTTTATCTTCAGGGCACTGGAAAATTTCTGAAAGTTTTCTTACCCAGAAGTGACATGATTAAAAAATCACTCTAGCTAAACTGTAGGAATAATAATAATAACGTAAAATACAGTACCCTATTCAACCCTTATACTGACACTCAAGGGTAGGTATTATCTTGATTTTACAGATAAAGAAATTGGGACTTCCTGCACTCACAAAAATTCACACAGTTAATGTGACATGGTGTCCTGGGCCCATGTGATTCTAACTCTGAGCTGTATGACTATGTAATCTTCAACTAGTTACAATTTGTCATAAAGTGCCTGCTTAGGATGAGTTCAATCCCTATCACACACACACAAAAAAAAGACAATTTGTCATAACCTGTGTTATATGTACTTTGTGGAAAATCCTCATTCTTATAGTATTTTGGCATGCTCTGATAATTTACAAAGCACTTCACATCATTATTTTATTTAATATTAAAAACCTGTCAATGAGGTGGTGTTACCTTCATGTTATAGGTCTGAAAATTGAGGTTTGGGGTACCTAGTTAGGAGTAGAGGGGGGCTGGGGATTTAGCTCAGCGGCATAAGCGCCTGCCTTGCAAGCAGGCAGTCTTGAGTTCGATCCCTGGTACCGATAAAAAGACACACAAAAAAAGTAGTAGAGCAGGGTCTTGAACACCAGGTTCTCGACAGAAGAAAGCCTGTTTTATTGGTATCCTATGAACATATCACACTTCTTTCTTGGATCTGTGCCCTACATTCATTGTGTAAATGTTTATAAAGCTCTTTCTTTCCAGGTTTTGGAGACCATATTCATTGGAGAACACTAGAAGATGGGAAAAAAGAAGCAGCTGCCAGGTACAGAACATGATTTTAGCTCATTTATGGTGGTTAAACTCTTTCTAGTCATCAACCCAGTATGAATTTCAGGTGAAGGGACATGCCATGGCAGAGCAAGAACTGAATAATTGCCTGTTAACAACAATACTGGTTAACATTTACTAAGTGCTTACTATGTACTAGGCATTAAATTATATGAACTAATTTATTTCTCATAGTAACTGTGGTGAGCACTGTAGGTCCTTTTTAGGGATAATAAAACTGAGATACAGAGCTGTAGTAACTTGTTCAAGATTACAGTAGAGCCAAGATTCAAGTGCATTCTGATTTCAGCACCTGCATTCTTAACTAGAATATCATACTTTCTACTAGCTTCAAGTTAAACAATCTTATGTCCCAAGGAGGTTAAGGGTATCCACAGACAGTTTATAGCATGAGAAAAAGATGAGGAGGTGAGACTAAGCAGTGTCTGTTTTGTATGCAGTGATTTACTTAATCTTCACAACAATCCATGAAGTTGTTACATTTATGAAATCACTTTATAGAAAAAGAAGCTTAAATATAGAAGAGTGAAATAACTTGCTAACAGTTAAACTACCTAGTAAGTGGCAGCGCCAAAACTTGCATTTTTTTTTTACTATATTGTACTGGAGAGCTACAAAGACTTTTCCACCCTGATATATGTGTTCCTTCATTGTACACACACACTTGCATGGACACTCACACACTTCTGGACACCACAAACTGTAGTGCTTCCTGTCCCTAGAACAGAACCTACAGTTTCACGGTTCTGGAACCAAACCCTTTGTAATAGAGTTGTCAGAATTATCAGATTTTTTAAAAATTTAAAAAGGATGTCCAGTTATAATTGAATTTTAGACAAACAACAAATAAATATGTCCATACAATTTGGGGACCTACTTATATAACTTAAAAAGTTTCTTATTTATCTGAAAACTATCTGGTGATGTCTCTGGACAATTTTTCTGTTCTGTTCTTTATAGCCTTCCTACATCTTCCTGTTACAGCATTTGTTATTCAAGTAGCTGTAGGTGCTTGATTTTGCCTTTACAGATTCCCTAATTTCCTATGGGGAAATCATTAAAATGCATCTGAAAACTTAAAAGTTTGCATCTGAATCCTCAACCATGGAGAAGTTAAGCAATCGAAATGATTGAAATGTTAAGAGTAACATGAAGAAGAGCACGCATTTGTGAATTGACATTTGTATGCCAAATACAGTGCAGTAGTTTTGCAGTATTTCATGGTTATTAAATTCTCTTTAATAAATAAATGGGTGGGTATAGTCCTTGGACCGCAGAGAGATCACATTGACCTGAAACGTGTAACATATGGCTTGACTAACTGATGCCATTTTAGTCTGAACGATTCCTTTTGGAGAAAACAGGACCTGGGCCTATTTGGCCTAGGTGTGTCCATAGAAACAGGAGAGCCTGTAAGAGTCAGAAAGTCCGGAAGTGCAGTGCGCACTTCCGTGTTACGTCAAAGACCCGGAAGTTAGCGTAGCGTGGTTGCATATGGCCGCTCCGGGGAAGGATGCCGCTTGTGGTGTTTTGCGGGCTGCCGTACAGCGGCAAGAGCAGGCGCGCTGAAGAGCTGCGCCAGGCACTGGCAGCCGAGGGACGCACGGTGTACGTGGTGGATGACGCTTCGGTGTTGGGCACGGAGGACGCGACAGTATACTGCGACTCTGCCCGTGAGAAAGCATTGCGTGGGGCCCTGCGAGCTTCGGTGGAGCGACGCTTAAATCGCCACGACGTAGTCGTCCTAGACTCACTTAATTACATCAAGGGCTTCCGCTACGAACTGTACTGCCTAGCGCGTGCAGCGCACACGCCACTGTGCCTGGTTTACTGCGTACAGCCTGCGAGTCGGAGCCTGGGACGTCTGGAGGAGCACCGGGGCTGTAATGTGAGTGTGAGCTGGAGGCCGCGTCTGGAGAAGGGTGCAAAACCTCAGACGACCTGCTCCGAGGAACCGCTTCTTGGGGGCTGTACAGTAAAAAATGAGGGAGCCCGAGACGACGTGCGTAGAGAAGTGGAACCGAAGGAAATTGGTTCTTCTTATTCCCCAGCTCTGGATACTCCAGAGTCTGAGAAATCTGCAAAGCACGCGTCGGGTGCCTTTTACCCTCCCGAACTTCTGGAGGCGCTAGCCCAGCGCTTTGAGGCACCTGACTCTCGGAACCGCTGGGATAAGCCTTTGTTCACTATGGTAGGATTAGAGGAGCCTTTGCCCTTGGCCGACATCCGGGCCGCCTTGTTTGAGAACCGGGCGCCCCCACCCCATCAATCTACGCAGTCCCAGCCACTTGCCTCCGGCAGCTTTCTACACCAGCTGGACCAGGTCACAAACCAAGTCCTGGCCGGCCTGTTGGAGGCACAGAAGAGCGCTGTCCCCGGGGACTTGCTCACACTTCCTGGTACTACAGAGCACCTACGCTTTACCCGGCCTTTGACCATGGCAGAGCTGAGTCGTCTCCGTCGCCAGTTTATTTCTTACACTAAAATGCATCCTAACAATGAGAACCTGCCTCAGTTGGCTAACATGTTTCTTCAATATCTGAGTAACAGCTTGCACTAGTCAGTGTGGTAGAGGGAAACCATGCTTGTCTGGCATCCTTTGCACTTTATTTCGGTAAGAGGAATCATCTGAAGGTTTGCAGAGCGAGTTGTAGTGCTAGAGCTGCTGAGTTGGATTGAGTCACTCAGACTTACATGGCTGCTTCTGTGCCAGGCGCTATAAGTTTACAGCATTGAGACTAGAGAATGAAGAACAACCTGGGGGATGGTGGTAGAGTTCTTCAAAGAGAGCTCAGGAGGGGAGGGAGCATGTAATTTGGATTCTAGTTGCAGTGTCACACAGTTGATTTTTTGAGTTGTGGGTGAGAATTGTTTTTAAAAGTTATGAACAGAAATTAAAGATGGCACAATTCTGTATCTGCACTTTCCCTTTTATACAACAGATTTTGAATATTGGACCTACTTTTTTGCTAGCTTTTGTTTTGGAGCAGAGTTCACTGATAAATCCTTTGTTTGCTATTCTTGGGAAGCTTTGATTTTTGTGGAAGTGAAGACTTAACCATGAGATTTTCTCTAATAAAATATTTTTAAAGTAGAGTTGGCTGGAGTCTCTCTCAATTTTATTTAATTTAATGTTCACCGTGTATCTTAATGTGACATTATGCATACACATCCATTATTGACTTTTTTTTGAGACAGGGTCTTACTAGGTAGTGTAAATTGGCCTCAACCTGTGATCCTCCAGCCTCAGCCTTCTGAGTCTAGGATTGTAGATGTAGACTTAAGATGTGTTATTGCTATGCCTTTGGCTGAATAGTATTTTGATAACACTGAATGAGAGACTAGGTTAGTCTCACCTAGAGTGATTATGACAAGTTATATAACATGGTTCATAATGTGTTACACTGAGCTTATTTTTTTATTCTTTTGTGGGTTTCAGTGTACTAATGGTATATCAGTGCCTGTCCTGTGATTTTTTTTTTTTTTGTCTTTTTCGTTTTTCTCGGTACCAGGGATGGAACTCACGACTGCCTGCTTGCAAGGCAGGTGCTTATGCTGCTGAGCTAAATCCCCAGCCCCTGTCCTGTGATTTTTTTTCAGACTGACCTTGAGAAGTGAAATATAGACAAATGATTATAGGATGTAAAAGGCTAGTTGGTTAGAGGATGATGACAAAATTCTTGGGAGCCCATATGAGAGAAGGACTAATTAGATGTTGGAAGAAGATGTTTTGAGAATTGCCTTACCAAAGAATAAATATTTGAACCATCATTTTATTTTATTTTACTTATTTTTTAGTACCAGGGATAGAACTTTCATTTATTTTTTGGTACCAGGGATTGAACTTTCATTTATTTTTTGGTACCAGGGATTGAACTCCCTGGCAGGCAGGCCCTTATGCTGCTGAGCTAAATCCCTGGCCCTTAAACCATCATTTTAGAACAGTGGTCTGCAAGGGACCAAGCTAAATATATTAAGCTTTGTGGGTCTTGTCTTTCTTGCTACATATACAGTAACTAAATGAGCATGAATGTGTTCTAATATGTCTATAGACACATTGCTTCTTGATCTTTTGGTTAAAATCAAGTGTAGTATTTTATCAGTATAATATCTGATACACACTTTATGCCAGAACAGTACTTGAAATATATTTTTGGAGTATATTAACTGGAGTTTTGGAGGTAGGAGGTAGAATAGCTTGCCCTTTCCACTTCATGCAGTGACCTGGTATTGAAATATCTCCAAGAATGGTACAACCCTTTTGGAATTAAAAAAAAGACACTGGAATGTGAATTATATTTAATTAAAACATCACAGAGTATTTTCCTTTAGATTTGTTTTCAATTATTGAAAAGTACGTTTAAAAATATATATATTATTGGCCCTATGGAAGCAAGAAGTGGGCTGGATTTGGCCTGCAGGCTTCAATTTTTAATTTCTGTTCTAAAACAATAGTACCAGGGAGAAAAGAGAGAGCAAGACATTCTAAAATGTACATGCTTTGAAAATGCATGAGCTGTTAAAAGTTTGGGTAGGTAGATTGCCATGGACAATGGTAGATTTATTGGACCACCTTTTTCTGATACATGAGAGGATTAATGCATGAAATGGAAGTTTGGACTAGGCAGCCTCAAAGACCTTTTCTAGCTTTCAATATCTGATTCTAAGACAGATGATTATGGATTGAAATAAATTGGGTTTAAACCCATGAATTCTGGATTGCCATTCTAAACTGAAATAGACTGTAATAGAAGACTGATTTTAGAGTCAGGCTTCTGAGTGAATGGTATTACCTAGATTTTTTGTTTGTTTTGTATTCTGAGACAGGGTCACGCTACCACGCAGTTCAGGCTGGCCTCCCAAGTGCTGGGATTACAGGTGTGTGCCACCACACCCAGGAGAACCTAGATTTTACCTGGCTAAGTATTTAATGTTTTGGAAGTGTGAGTTTTCTCATATTATGAGACCATGAATCATATCTATCCTAGAGTCATTTTGAGGTCTTAAGATAATGCATATAAAGCACAAAACAGTATCACATAATAAACATTCAACACATTTTGAGTACTACAGTTACATAAATCCCACTACCCACCTAAACTTGTACATCTCATGTAGTTTACAAGCATTTTCAAGTAGGAGAGGCACAAGTACATCCCAAATTTGTAGTCAGCTTAAGATAAAGTAACTTATTTGACACTTGCTAAATCAGCAGTATGTATATTTAAAACAGTGGTGAACCTAGTGTATGTGTGCCATACTGGCCTGTTTTTTGGTTTGTTTTGGTTTGGTTTTTGTATTAGGAATTGAACTTGGACTGTTTGTATCATTGAAAGCTCTTAAAAGATTCACCATCACAGATTTAGAATAATACAGACATATAGTAAAGGTAATACAAATATTTGCTACCAATAATATTGTATGTGCTGGACATAGGGAATATAGAGACAGTTGAGAATTCCTTAGGAAACTCCACGTCTAACAGAAAGAGATGGGTAAGTAATAGATATAATTCTGTAGTGCTAAGTGTACATATTACACCAGCATGTGGTGATAGGTGATATGGGAGGTTGTTTGATTGCGAAAGCCAGTGATTGCCTACATAGGGCCCTCCTAGTTGATATGTGAGCTTTGACAGTATAAAAGTTGGTGGATTTTATTGCTCATTATTTACAATTTTTAAAAATTTTTCCTTCCCTGATTATGAAAACTACATTAAATTGTTAGAAAATACAGAAGTTGTAAGGTAAAATCCACAATTTCATCATCTATAGATAACTGATAACTATGTTTTGATACATTTCCTTTTAGGCTCTCTGCATATTTGTATAATTAAGATTAGATTGTAAATGATTTTATGGATTTTTATTTAACAACAATGAAAAGTTTTCATTTATATCTTCAGTGACTACACAATGTAATCATTTAAAATACCATAACATTTTAAAGCATTGATGTGATTTTTTTTTTTTGTTTCCCACAATCCTTGCAGAAATGCCAGAATTTACCAATACTTTTGGTATGATAATACATTATTATTGAATATTTAGGTTGTCTCATGATTTTTGCAACTGAAATCATAGAATAGTACAGGAATGTCTGTATGTTAATCTTAGTCTTCATAAACATTTTATTGGACTAGCTTTGAGGAAGTGAATTACTAGCTTATAATCTGTGTGTTTTGTTTTTAAGTGGATTGCCTCTGATGGTGATTATCCATAAGTCTTGGTGTGGCGCTTGCAAAGGTAACTTCAAGTACTCAACATCAGATTTCAGATGAGCTGTCCAAGGTTAATATGTAATAAATGTTAGCACAACCTTCCTTCACGAAATTTGCATTTTTATTTGCAGGGTGGAGGGGGATGTTAGGGAGAATTAAAATATAGTGCTTCAGAGTAGGGAGTTAAGCATTAAAATATGTCACATAGACCATAAATTTTAGGGAGATAAAATCATATGCTGAGAGACATGGGAAATAATTAGGTAAGACTTCCTGGAGAAAATGGAAACCAATCAGAATCTGAGATGTATTCATGTATTCTTTCTCTTGTACAACTACCCTGCCACCTTCCCAAGCCAGGTTTTATCTTTCATTTGGTGTGCTATACCCAATAACATCCTAGTTGGAGAAGGCATGTAAAATTAATATAAGTAATTGTGTATATTTAGGTTATATTAGTGTACATATATGTCTCAGTATAAGTTATTGAAATGTAACTATAAAAAGCAAATAGTAATACTTCCCCCATTTGTATGTCATCCTTTATCAATGAGATAAAAAGTTTGATAGAAACGAAATGTCATTCAAAGTCATACCACTGTGCAAATAAGTAGCAGAAGGAAGATTAGAATCTAGCAGTCCTGATTCTGGTTTTAAATAAAACAAAAAGGCTTTCAGTTATATGCATCAGTTTAGCACATGCTTGAACTATACAGGAGAACTAGTGATGTTCATGTTCTCTAGGGTTTGAATATAATGATGTTTCTTCTGTTCCAAAATCTTTTCTTTTTCCCCAGCTTTAAAACCCAAATTTGCAGAATCTAAAGAAATTTCAGAGCTTTCCCATAATTTTGTTATGGTAAATCTTGAGGTAAGATGGAGTTTCTTTTTTTTTTTTTAAAGACTTTATTATTTTAGATTTAGTATTACTAGTGCTATATAATCATACTGAGCAGAGCCTGCTACTTGTATATATTTGTTTTTCTTTTGACCTCTGATTTTGTGTGTGTGTGTGTATGTATTTTTTTTTTTTTTTTATCGGTACTGGGGCTCAAACTCACGACTGCCTGCTTGCAAGGCAGGTGCTTATGCAGCTAAACTAAATCCCCAGCCCCATGTGTATGTATTTTTAAAAATCTTTTGAACTCTATTGTTAAGGCTTGTGTTAGATGACTTGCAATCAAGTCATTCAGTATGTACTTTGGGGAAAAAGTAGGAGAGGAGAGCCTGATTAAGATAACTAAACTTTAAGGTTCTTTCATCCTTGATTTTTATTTTTTTTAACTTTTTAAATTTTTGAAACATGGTCTCACTGTGTAGTTCAAGCTGGACTGGAAATCCAGGCTGGCCCCTAAAGAATAGTGATTCTCTTGCATCACCCTCCTGAATTGCTGGGACCACAGATGTGTACTACTATGCTTGGCTCATCCTTGGTTTTAAATTATGACATTGTACATTTTTGTATAACTAAATAATCATACATAATCATGCCAAATGAGATTCAATTGAACACCTCCTTTGTGCTGGACTTATTTACAACCTCCTTGTTTTCTCATTAGACATTTCTCAGGTACTTGATCAGAATAGACTCAAGGTCTTGGAAAGTTAAATCATAGAATATCAGACTGGATTTGGGGACATTTTTAGGCCACTGCTACTGCCCCCAATTTAAAGAACATTTTAGACATGAAAGGAATTCAGTTTGTTCAAAATCAGAGACAAATAAGTGATTAGAATAGATACTGTGACCTAGCTATATTCCTATATTCAAGTGTGGAATTACTTGTGTGCTATGTGATGACTCTTTGAGCTTTAAATTTCTGTGATATTTACTTAAGCATAGAATTAAGAACCTTTTTTTTTTTTTTGTCTTTTTGAGACAAGGTCTCTCTATGCAGTTCAGGCTGGCCTTGAGCTCACTTTGTAGCACAGGCTGGTCTCGAACTTGCAATGATCCTCCTGCCTCAGCCTCCTGAGTGCTGGGATTACAAGCATGAGCCACCATTTCCGGCTTAGAACTGAGAATCTTATGAATATACTAATAGTTAACATTGAGGTCGTAAAAGTGTTGCTTATATAGCTAGTGAATATCATGAGTGCTACATGTCTTATTAAGGTAGTTAGAATACAGTGTGAAGAATTGGGGCTGGGGATTTAGCTCAGCGGCATAAGCACCTGCCTTGCAAGCAGATGGTCGTGAGTTTGATCCCCGGTACCGATAAAAAAAAAAAAAAAAGAATACAAAGTGAAGAATTGACTCCATTTAAAACCCATTAAATGGGAGTAGTGTCAATTATAAATTATAGTTATTATTAATTTCCTGGGTATATAAATTCCTCTTTCTGTGGTAAATTGTGGTCCCCATTGTTCAGAAGAGACGAATAATATCTTTAGTGAGCATTCCATTAACTTAAGAATTTTCTGCAAAATAATAATAGTAAAACTGATTGCATGGTTATATGTCCTGGAAAGACTATCACTCCACCATTGTAGCTAAAATACCAATTTCATTAATTCATGCACACAAGAAATACTATTTGTGAGTCATGTAGGCACTGGAAACATAGTGAACAAAACAGCTAACATTTCCTCATTGAAATAATGTTCTAATGTGGAACAACAAGGAAAATGTGTCACATGGTAGTAAGTGATGTAGCTAAAATTAAAGGATGGTAGGGATGCAATTTTAGATAAGTGGTTAGAAAAGAGGGGCTGGGGATTTAGCTCAGCGGCATAAGTGCCTGCCTTGCACGCAGGCAGTCGTGAGTTCGATCCCCGATACTGATAAAAAGGAAAAAGACAAAAAAAAAAAAAAAAAAAAAAAAAGAAAAAGAAAAGAAGGTGACATGTGAGCAAAGATCAGAAGCAGAGAGATGACAGGATAAAGTGTGTCTTAAACAGAACATTAGAGCAAGTTCAAAAGCCTGAGAGTATTATATCTGGTTTATTGAATGACAATAGTAGGCAAAGTAATTAGCCAAAGAAGACTGAATGAGGTAAGTATAAAGTTTGAGACGTGCCCAAGGGTCAGGACATATAGGGCTTTGAAGTCTTACCAAGAGAAGAATGCACTGAAAGGCTTTGAGAAGGAGAACATGATCTAATACAAAGTTTACATTTAACCTTAATAGGATGAAGAAGAACCCAAGGATGAAGATTTTAGTCCTGATGGTGGTTATATTCCACGAATCCTTTTCTTGGGTAAGGCCAAAGCATCTTACTCATGATGTAGATAGAGACAGAAATGCAGGACAATCAGTGCACCTAGTAAAACTACACTGGGATATCCAAAAACAGAAACCAGTTGAAGAGATTAGAGGAATTCTGAATATACCAGAACTACAAGTTTGCATGAAAAATTGTCCCATTAATAAACTGCTTTTATGAGCAGTGACAAGTTTGATCTTCTATTTATTCATTCAACAGTCATCTGGTCATTAGCTACATGTCAGATACTGTGTTAAGCCCTGTAAAAAAAGAGATAAGCCACAATCCCCACCTGACTCTGTAGTGTAGTTGAGGCAACAGAATAGTACAACCACACAAATGTCTTTCCACATACAAGTTACAAGATACAGCCAGTGGTCACCTAATCTCTGCTTGGATTCTGTGGGAGATATGTATGACCCCATCATCAAGCAGAAAGAGAACATGCCTACAAAAAGGGAATAAATGTGCCAAGGCATAGGGAGGAGTGGGGAGGATTTGTATTCTGGGATTCTAAGGAGTGCATTGTGACTAAAGCATGAAATGTAAGGGGTAGGGTAATGGGCTGCAAGTATGGGTTGGTAGCATTTCCCAAAGGACCTAGTGAATCATGTGATGTTGAGAAGTGCTTTCACTGTAATCTGTGCTGTTTTGTCTACAATAGATCCCAGTGGCAAGGTGCATCCTGAAATCATCAATGAGAATGGAAACCCTAGCTATAAGTATTTCTACGTCAGTGCTGAGCAAGGTACAGTTCTGCTGAGTGAAAGGAGGAAGAATTGCTGTTAGATTTAACTTGGATGAGTGACAGGCAGGATCTGTGATAGAAGCTTAATCCAGTGTGCTAATTGAGGATCACCATCATGACTTAACTTTCAGCTAGATCTTATATAAGATACAGGAGAAAGATGAAACTGAGCCCTTCCCTAGCTACTTAAAAATCCAATGGATATGACCCAAATTAAACCTCTCCTTTAAAAAATGAAATCCTGTGGAACTAGTCGTGGTAGTACATCCTGTAATCCCAGTACTCGGGAGACTGAGGCAGGAGGATCATTGCGAGTTCGAGACCAGCCTGGGCTACAAACTGAGTTCAAGGCCGGCCTGAACTGCATAAAGAGACCTTGTTTCAAAAAGACAGTAAGTAAATAAATAAAATCCAAAGGAAGAGCTAATTGACTCATGAAAACCTAGAGACCTAAGGCACCTGGAGGTATTCACTTGCTTATGGTCTCACAAAATGTCAGTTGGGATTTAAATCCCTATTTTTCCCCCATTATACTAATATTGTTCCTGTAAAAATCTAGAGAAAGAATAAAAATAGCTGAATAAGTCTAAGAGGAATAGATACTAAACTTTAACTGGATGAAGAGCTAGAAGAATTTGTCTCTGGACAGATAAGAGGAGAACATCTGAAACTACAGTAGCAAGAAGTGGGGAGGACGCAGCCAGACATGGAGAGCGTATGAGGCTTGCTGGGGGAAATCATGCGTGGATGGAGCCCTGGACAGTGAGACCTAGTCAGCATAAGAATGGGAAAAGCATGTTCCAGGCAGAGAAAAACGGCATCAGCATAGAGAAGTGAAGGAAAGCCGACATCCTGTCCCTGAATTCTGAAGCACAAAGCATTTTAAAGGCAGAGCTTGGAATTCATGTCATGTACTATCCCTGTCTTCCTTCCTTTTTATCCTGATCTATAAAAGGCAATTGTTTGCCAAATTGTCATGTGTCTCCTGTTGTCCAGCAGCCATGTCCTTGGCCACTTTGAGTCCTTCCAATTTTATTTTATCGGTACCAGGGATCGAACTCACGACTGCCTGCTTGCAAGGCAGGTGCTTACGCCACTGAGCTAAATCCCCAGCCCTGAGTCCTTAGAATTTGTATTCTCCGAATAGCAAAGGGGAGCAATCTGGGATATTTTCTTCTTCTGGATAAAGAGAATGGCCTCTTGTTGACCATATGTAGGTCCCTGGAGATTGGTGTTAGAAGAGTTTCCACACAGAGAAGAGTAGGTGGGCTTTAGATCTACAGTTTTTGTTTTGGGATTCACCTTTGCTTTTAAATTTTACCCAAGTTTACCACTGGTATCTCCATGCTGACAGTTCATGAGCAAGACTCTTCTGTAGGTTCTTTGTGAGTAGGCTACCATGAAGCTGGAACAAGTGACTGAAGATATAGGCAAAACAAAAAAATAACCAGCTAGTTTACATGGCTCTTAGGAGCTAATGGGTCTGCTTCCCAAGATTCACAGACTCTGGCTTAAGCTAGTTCCCAGCCTACAGCTATACAGGGATGCTACTGTAGAAGCATCATGCAGAGGTCTATACTGTAACTGCCCTGCTTAAAATGCACATCCATAAGAGGGCTGCCCTGAAGCATATAAGAAATTTCCTTTTCTCTCTGCTTAACGCCCTCATTTTCATACTCATTCATATTCATTCTCTCTCTCTCCCTCCCTCTCTCCCTCTTTGCTTCTCACCCTCCCTCTCTCCTTCCCCTCTCTTCTGAAAATGAGTTCTTTCACATATAGTTGAAAGTAGAAATGACTACACCCTTGAGTGGAGACCATCCATGGTAATACATGTGCACATACTCATGCATATCAGTGTAACCTGTCACCTCTACAGGAAATAAAGAAAATGCAACAGTCATCCAAAAGACAGTAGGGATGGTAGGAAGGTATTCTCATGATTTCATAGTACCCCTGCATGGAGTAGCAGTATTTCATTTTACAGACAAGGAAATGGACTCAAAAGAGATCAATGCCATGCCAAGGCCTAAAGTCCAAAACTAGATCTTAAGTCCAGATCTCCTGATTTTCCTAAGACACTTAAAAATCTACATTTATTGTCAAATATCAGATATTAAAAATGTTTCATAACTTTCCCCTCTACTTTGATTTCACAGTGGTTCAGGGAATGAAAGAAGCTCAAGAAAGGCTAACAGGTGATGCCTTCAGAGAGAAACATTTTGAAGATGAGTTGTAACACCAATGTACCCCTTCTTTCATCAAAGTCAATGTTCTAGAAGAAAAGCAGCAAGGGAAGGAATATTGAGGAATCACCCAGAACAATTAAACCAACCAGGAAACCTTGCTTCTACCTAGCTGGAAGAAGCCTTCTCACTGTGGAAGAGGTCTGCTCGCAAAAGCTGGTCAGCATATGTGTGGACCTAGCAGTGTGGCAGACTTCCTTCTCCTGCTACCTATCACTTAAGTGTCCATTTGTCTTTGAATGTAAAGAATGAAACTTTTGACACAAAACTTGAGCCACTTGGAGATTTACTCCTCATATTACAGTATTTGAGTCTTTTCCCACTTTCCTCCTGCTTAACTCACGTTACTGGTAAAAGACCAGTGGCATCTTTTCTACAACATTACCATTGCAGGACTAGCTTAAAAATTTTTTTAAATAACAGCAAGTCCTGAGCAAATAATAATTTTATCACTTCTCAAGGAGAAAGCCTGTTTTTTTTCTCCTAGAAATAATCTGGGAGTTTTTCCTGAATCCCCATGAGCTCCTTCTCTGTGCTCGGCTTGCCCTGTTTGCACGCATGCGTGTGCAGGAATGGCTGTGTGCTTGGACTGTCCCCCGCTGGAAGCATGCTTTCCCTCTTGACTATTGGAGAAACTGTAACCTTCAAACCCTACATGGAGCCATTTTTGTCAAGTCATCAACTGTATTTTTGTACTGGGGTTAATAAAAAATATATATTAATTGTTCCATTAAACTTTAGTAAAACTTTAAAAGGAAGTGTGCTTTGATGGCCTTTTTATTATTGGAAAAGGGAAGGAGAGAAATCATTTCAAAAGAAAGCTAACTTTGAGGTCCTGCTCTAGGAATCCTAACCTGAGACTTCACCACCTACATCCCATAACCAAATGAACACCAGAGCTCATCTGTTTTACTTTTTTTTTTTTTTTTTAGAGATGGTGTCTTGCTGTATTGCCCTTGAACCCCTCGAGTTTAAGTGGTCCACAGGATAAGCCTCCTGAGGTGATAGTTGTATACCCAATCTTTTAAATTTTAAATACCTGAATTCCCCCTTTCCCTGCTATCAGCATTTTAACACAGGGAAGGACTTTTCACAGTCCCAAACTTGCCTTTTTTTTTTTTTTTTTTTTTGGTCTTTTTCCTTTTTGTTGGTACCGAGGATCAAACTCATGACTGCCTGCTTGCAAGGCAGGCACTTATGCCGCTGAGCTAAACCTCCAGCTCCAACTTGCCTATTTTTCTCTAATATTCTCTCCTGTAAATCATTCCTCCTTGCTTTCCCCAGGGTGATTTTTTTTTTTTTTAAACAGGATCTTATGTACAGACTGGCCTTAAACTCCTGGCAATCCTTCTCCCTTACCCTCCCAAATGCTGGGATTACATATTACACCATGCCCAGCTTCCCTTGAGTGACCTTTTCAAAACATGAATGTGGCAATATATTTCCCAGCTTAAACCTTTCCTGTCCCCTTTAAGATTATTACTGTCAGGAAATATGTAGATCTCCAGTATGTGCCAGGCAGTCTTCTAATTTACCTATGTGGTTATTTGATTTGTTTTTCTTTACAGCAGCTCTGTGAGAAAAGTACTATTATAATCCTCATTTTATAGTTTGAAACAGGAGGAAATCAAGGTACACAGTAAGGTCAAGATCTTTAGCATGACCATGCAGGGAGCTACCTACCCTAACCTCATTTGTTCCCATTCATGTCTTAGATTTTGTATTGTGACATCAAGTTGCTCTGAGTTTTTCCTAACAACATGCTGGAGTTTTTTGCCTTGGTGTCTTTACCCATCTTGTGCCTTCAGCCTGTATGTTTCCCACGTTTCTTCACTCATTTTGAGCCATGTCTCCCATAGTCTCTGATCTTTCTCATGAGAATAAAATGCCTTGCTTCCAAGAGAGTCATGCATCACTTTACTGAATTTTGCTCATTGTGGCTGTCATGAGGTGGCATCCTTTAGGGCAGAGTATTCTCACCTGTCCTGCTATACCAAGATGTCAAAACAATGTACTTTCAATTGATTTAAATCCATCCTTTTTAAATACCACCAGTGGTCCTGTGGCAGGGGGGACTTCAGAGAAGGAAGTGATTTTCTTTCCTTCAGTTCCTAGATTAAATACTGGACTCTAATCACTACTATCTGACTCCAAACTCATCCTTTTCCCACCATATTACTACCTTTCCATTCTAACATCTGATTCATCACATATACTCAGGTGTGCATACACATACTGTACAAGAATGTTCCTGAGCTCCCAAACAAATCAACTTAAATGTCTGTTAATAAGTAAATGAATAAACTGTGGAATACTCAAAGGAGTACTCAGGAAAAAAATACATATGCAACAATATGGATGAATCTGTAATACTATGCTGAGTGAAAAGAAAAGCACAAATGAAAGTAAATGTCTATGTTAGAACAGGTGACACCTAAAGTGTGAGAAAGCTGATTGGTGGTTACCTGGCATTGGGGATGGTTTAAGACCAAACTGACCACAGAGGCACAGGAGGGAACCTTCTACAGTGGTGTAAATGTTGACCATGGGTTACACAGGTAAATACTTGTCAAAACTCATCAAACTGTAACTAAACCTAAACATTCTGTCATACGTAATTTATATCAATATATTCAACTTAAAAACACTTCAACTCTCCAAGTTGAAGTCTTTCTGCAAGAATGAGTTGACCTGGGGATTTAGCTCAGTGGAGTAAGCGCCTGCTTTGTAAGCATGAGGTTGTAAGTTTGACCCCCAGTACTCCCCTCAAAAAAAGAATGATTTAGCTGATCTAGTTTGCTGTGAAGACTGAGTTGGCTAACTAGGTAGTGAGTAAGGCCTTCCAATAAATTAAATGAGAGCTAAGCATTTTAATAAAACAAAGCACATAACATGACAAATGCATTTTACCAAAACACTACCTTGACAAAGATTTTACTGGCATTTTCTTGGGAATTTGGGTTATGCAGGATACTTCTAAGGCAAAAAAGTCTGAGAATCTGTTAGTAAGCACGTAACTAGTCTGTGATATGCTTGCCAAAACTGAAAAAGGAAATGACTAATGGACAGGTAACAGATTCTTCTGCAAATTAGATGCTTTCTCTGTCTTTTCTCTTTTGTCATCGAAAGAAGACCTAATTTATCAAAGGATATATCTTTGAATTTTTAAATTTTAGATCAGTGATATTTTTGGTATATGTGATAGTGATTGAAAAATAGTGAATGTTTAAATTTTAAATTTTAAATTTAAAGGTTACTACAAGAAAAGATGCATTGCCATTAATCCTACTTGAAATATTGACATATTGAAATATTGAAATAATCTCCTTCACATTGAACACACTTAACTCACTGTTCTTGTCACTTTTTGAACCATTTCTGGAAATCCTCTTTCACAAGGGTCTTTATGTTATCTATATCTATATCTATCTATATCTATCTATCTATCTATATATATATATATATAATAAAGGTGTCCATGAGAACATCACAGTGTGTCCTTACCCACCTTATGCACTGGATCTGGCACTGTGTGACTTCTGGCTCTTCCTGGGAGACAAAATAACCATGAAAAAGGAGCTAAACGTTTCTTTATATTTCAGTCAGTTGAAGCTCAGGTCCCCATTATACTACAAAAAAATCATAACAAAAACATTATCTAGTATCTTGGTTTGTCATTTATTTGACTTCCTCATCACCCACCATCTCCAGTGTAATCACAACCACCCACTGAAGGAGTCTTATCTTGTCACTCCAACTGCTCTGTCTCTGAAATCTTCAATTTAAAAATCTATTCTTTAACTGTAGCCGTATTTTTCCTTTCAACCCAGTTGATTACCATCTTCCATCATTCTCTGACCTTATGCAATCAGTTGTAACTTCTTCAATTTTCCACCACCAACGTAGACCTTTCTACATTTGTCCCATCTTCTCTCCCTTTCCTCTTATTCTACTGGAGGAGATGGTGCCTACTTCTTAGGTACTTATTAGAGGTTCATCTTTCTATTGTGTTCTGGAGCCATCCCCTATTGGGGTCTGTGCCTAGATCCTCAATCTCTCAAATGAGTGCATGGTGAAGGCTCAAATGAATGAGACAAGTGGTATGATCTTTAGGGCTACAGGAGGACCAAAATCCTCTGCAGAGTTTGTAACTCTGGTAGCTGAGACAGACTGTCTCTGGGCAATCTGTATTTATTCAAAACAAGGAAGGGGTTAGAGTGAAAAATGCAGGAAATCTGAGCAAGGTCTTTGGAAGGGTTCAAAGACCCTTCAAAGCAACAAATGATGCTAATTAAGGAGAACTAACCTAGGAAAAAGTCTCCAGGAATCCTCAACTGTGGCCAACCTTGCCCCGTGAGGCATCTACTTGTCCTCAGTTCAGCCATGCTTGGGCCATGCCACAGCCCTGTACTTGTATTCAGCTTCAAAGGCTCCAACAATCCCCTTCTTGTCCTTGGTTTTAAAAAAAAGAAAAAAATATATATATTCCATTCCTTTGTCTCATCAATCCATTTTTTTCTAGATCATTTCAGTGCAAATGTAAACAAGCAGTTATTTCTGATCTATAAACAAATAATCTATAGGTTTTATCTGTCCATGTAGCCTGATCTATACTGTCAGCCCTTTTAGTTTTTGTTGTTGTTGTTGTTATTGTTTTCTGTTTTTAGTTTTTTGAGACAGGATCTCACTATATAGTTTGGGTTGACCTTGAACTCATGTGATCCTCCTGCCTCAACCTTCCAAATGCTGGGATTACAAACATGTGCCACCACATCTAGCCATGTTGTTAACTTTTTCTCACCTCTTCATTTTTTTTCCCTTTGATTTTGAGTGTCATCTTCATTCTTTATCCTTTATTTGCTGCATTTTGGCTTCTGCCTTCACAATTCTACCCAAATAGTTCCTGTTATACTAATGGAAAGAGATAGAGTGTATAGGGTTAGGAAATAAATGGGAAAATCTGGACAATAAAATCAGTTTTGAGCATTTTCTTTCTAATTCAAAATTGCATGGATAATGCTTGAACTAACCCTGCAGGCATATTGGATACTATGTGCTAATAAATATCTTGATATCTTGTGGGGCAAACCAATTTTGTTTTTTTACATTGCTTAACGACTCCTGAAGAACATGTGGTGAAAAAAGGAAGTAAGTAGGTTTTTTCCTGAAACATACCTCATCAAATAAATAAGTAAATAAATAGCTCATTCTCCACTGTTTTACATGTCAGAAACCTGAGACCTATCCCTAACTTCATCTTGTGATTTTATCCCTAGTCACTAATTACTATTCATTTTCTTTCTTAAAAAAAGTTTTTTTTTTTTTTTTTGAGACAAGGTCATGAGTTTGATCCATGGTACAAAAAAAAAAAAAAAAAAAAAGCAATAAATAGCAGGAGGAGTGAACAGTATTGCTGCCACAAACAAACAAACCAATCAACAGATCAAAAGAGCTGGTTCTTTGAAAGAATAAAAAAATAGATAAACCCCAACCAAACTTACCAAAATAAAGAGAGACAAGATTCACATCAATGCAATTAGAAACAAAAAAGGAATATCCCACAATGGATACTGTCAAAATCCAGAAAGTAATAACCACTATGAAAAACTGTATTCCAATAAAGTGGAAAATCTTAAAGAAATAGACAGATTCCTAGAATCATATGAATTACCAAAACTAAACCAAGAAGATATAACAAGCAATGAAATTGAGGCAGTAATAAAAATTTACCAACTAAATAAAATCAGGAACCTG